CACGGCTGACGTAAGTTCAGAGGGGTCAGGATATTACATTGCTTCTGCAAGGTCAAATGCAACATCAGGTTGATCTGCAGTTCGGTGTGAATGTTTCCACCATAGAACGTCTTGTCCGTCGTCTGAGACAATGGAAATTTTGCCGACCAACCGCAATCGGGACGTCCGCACGTAATGACGCGACGTCAAGAAAGGGCTATTCGTCTTGTCTACCTGCGTAATCGGCATGTTACTGCCATTGAAACCGCTATCAATATTGTAGGTAATAATAATCGCCACATTTACCCCAAAACTGTAAGGAACCGATTGCGCAATGTTTGTCTGCGAGCTTGTCGTCCTTACGTTGGTCTCCCTCTCACTCGTACATGTCTCTCGCGTTGTATGGCACATGCTCCCAGACGTTTTCCAATGAGGCGAGTCTTTTTCACAGACGAGTCATGGTTCTCTCCTTTTCGTCCGGACGGTCGACGTCGCGGGGAACGCTTCGACGACGCGTGTGTTCTTGAGAGGGATGGGTTTGTGGTGGCTCGGTTATGATCTTGGGAGGGTACAGGGTAAAGTCACCGTTGATTGTGGTAGCCAGGAACTTATATAACCGTCCGAAGGGATGAAATCCTCCACCCCGTTGCACTTCCGTTTGTGCAACAGCATCACCTTATTTTCCAACATGAAAATGTCCGTCCCTATGAAGCCAGAGTTTGTCAAGACTTTCTCGCAAACCAAAACATTAAACCACTTGACTGGCCGCCGTACAGTCCAGTTTTCCCACCAAATCCANGACCACTCCCAGACAATCTGATGTTTTCTACACACAAAGAATTGAATGATCATGAAATATTCTTCATTATCAAATCTAAGGCACAAAATTCTAATGTTGATCTCGAAAATAATATTTGTTTCTGTTGTTGAACTAAAACATTCAATAATAATAAACAAGTAATAAACTTCGAACAGTTTATATATATCGTACCCATTGTGTGCCATATAGCATCTTGTAAAAGTAGTTTCCTCACATGTAAAATAAACTCTAATATTTTTGGATATCACTTGGATAGTTCCCAAACTAGGGGGAGATAATATAAGCTAGTAGTAAAATGCAGCCGGGAAATTCTTCATAAAAGCCTAGGGGCTGGTAGCCAGTCTACTTTCTATCATGCGGTTATACCTCTAACAGCTAATATATCATACACAATGATAAGTTTTCATTGTATTTCTCAAAGCTTGATTTGTAACATCATATTTATTATTCTAATTAACGATTTGATCACAACAAATCAACACGTAAAGTCAGAAATTATATATATATACAGATAAGTATTGGGACTGTACGGTCGTTAACAATGTATGAAAATTGCACATTTACCTTGTAATAATGTAACATAACATTTCAAATCAATGTTTCTAATATCCATCGTATCAAAATTATGTTTTCCAGTTATACTTTGATATCATGCCGATTTTTTGCCGATTAGCATATGGTTCCTATATCCGCAGTACAGTTTTAGAACCAATCATATTATTTCATTGAACCAAAGGACAATCACTGCACGTCGTTTTTAAATTTTCTCATATATCTGCTATAAAGTATTTTACATTTGATCTTGATTGTCTTAGAACACATTAAAGTTAATTTTTTATGTGTGCTTTGCTGAATATAAATCCCTGTATTTAAAACCCACCCCATAGTCCAACCCATTCACTGTAATTAATTGACCTACTGGAAAAATTGTCTATTATGGCTTGTTTAAAAAGATTTCTGTTAGGTTTTGCCTTCAGTGCAATTTTTGACAATGTTTAGCGTCCAGGTTTTATCGTGTCACTAACAGTATCTTTAGGCTAGAATTGTTTATATGATATTTTTGTTTGTATTCCTACTCCAACATTCAAATGGAAATGTGCAAATTTTCTCAATAATGAAAATCAAAATTTCAATGCTGGAGAACGCTTATACAACTATTATACAAGCAAACTGAATTTCAAATTTCAGGTCTTATACCAGAAAGTAAATAACATAGCAACTTGCAGAGTTTGTAAATTACAAATTTCCACTAAGCCAATTAATTATAACTGTTAAATACTTTAATAAACAAACAAACATACCCGGTAGTTCAAGTAAAATAATGAGTTTTTTATGATATGGAGACAAAAATAGAAATGTGTTTCTGGTTAAGTTGTCATTATGCATCATGGAGAAGAGATATGAAATTCGAAGAAATAACAAAAAAAATAATCTTGCACGACATTTTCTTCACACTTACTTTTAACATCAACTAAATACAAATAAACTATAATATTTAAAGTGAGCTTTGATTCATTTTGTCTCCTTATGAAAGCCTAGATGTGATTAATTACATTGGTCACCCTCGATCTTTATCATTACAACTAAGACTCTAACAGGTGTTCAAAACGTCACAAAGAAATGATTGTTTTTCTATAATATATTTGTGATTAAATCCTTTTTTCACTACACATGTATTTTACTTTTTCGACATTAAAGTTTAATATTTTTCAAACATTATTTTGTATAAACTTTTACAATAAACTAAAGAACCAAAATGAAATGTTTTCTAAATTATAATTTTTTAAGACAAAAGTGAAGCATTAAAATACACATCACAGTAAAAAATTCAAAATAAGTTATTTCTGTATTTATTTACATATTTTTTGTGAGTCTGAACCAGGAAATTAAAATCAATATTTCATATTTCATCTAGGTCAAGAATGTACAGGTTCCTGTTATATTTAATTTCAGTCACAACTATAACACATTCATACATCAATTAACGTAACTGAGGAAAATTTAAAAATATTGACAAAACAAATCAGTCTCTCAGAATTATCAAAACATGCACATAATTACAAATACCTTAAATCTGAATGAACATAGAATGGGAAAAAATAAACAATCACCAAAATTTTGCAATGTAATAAAAATAATGATGACCAAATATATTTTCCCAGCATCTTCTTTAGGGGTTACAAAATGTTTTATTTTATTCTTCACAACCAATATGACATCATTTTATGAATATTCACCAAATGTCAAACTTTCAAGAAAACATCAGCTTCATCAGATTGAATATTCATCATGAATTAACAAATTCATCATATTACATATATCGTCCCTGCAGGCAGGGCGTAAGAATTGTACCTACTGCCCCCTTGCATGATCATATAAGAGGCGGCTTGATTTGGAATCACATCTTTTCTCTTCTTTCTAAACAACTTTCTTCTTCCTAATGTCTCTCTTGACAATGCCTCACTTTTGGCCTTTAGTTGAGCGTTCGCCCCTGTGAGACAGGCTTTGGGTTCTGTCCCCTGGCCGAGACATACCAGAGTCTGTAAAAATGGTAGTTTCTACTCCTGCTTAACGCTCAGCAATTTAGGAGTGGGACGACTGGTTTGCCCGTTCTCAGTATAATGTGACCGGGGGGGGTGTCCTGCTGGGTGCCTTCGGCAGTATGTTTCAGTGAGGTAGCACTATAAAGTCGGCATCAGTTCCGCGCTATCACAAGGAGATAAACAGGAACATATTGCAGCCTCCCAAAACACACACGCATACACTACACACATGCATCTTGCACACAGGAAAGGCGGTCCTTAAATGACCACAGCTGTTGATAGGACGTTAAACAAAATCAAACAAACAAAAAATTGACGAAGGTGGTCAATATTTTGAAGATGTGTAAGGTATACGGTATCTAACGTTGCAGGGCATCAAAGTTCAGTAATGTCAGGAGTTCATTATTTTAATCATACACTTTGTATTTCACAAATTAAATTTTCCAGATATCATATTTTTATAAAATCTGAACACTGAATAAAATGTAATAAAAACGCATAAAATGAGTTGTCGCTTGAAGTAAATAAATTGAATTCGAAAACTCGGGTCTGGCATAATATCTAAGCAGGGACCACGACAACCAGAGATTAAATGCATGTAACCGCTGACGTCACCAAGATAACTCAAACACTGTACAATAGACAAGTACTGTATACTATCGTCTTTGGTGACTCTCAGATATGACACGTGTTCGACGTTAAACAATACTAAACCAAACCAAATCACATTACATATTCTTATTTTTCATTAACCCAATCATATGAATATGCATGACCTTTTTCGGTAATCTTCCTCTATGAATATGCATGATTTGATGATAGCTTTACATACCTGTACATAATAACATGCAACTGAAATAATCAATTTACAGGTTATATACACATATGTATGTGTCCAATATGATGTAAGGGAGATAATCAAACACAATTTTAAATCTGATGGTAAAATCCAAATGATTTCTGCCTTTACAATATTGTACATTATAAAACATATTTATATCTTATCATAAAATGCTTGATTAAACTTACCAAGTCACAAATATGAATAAGGCAACTAACTACATGTTACATGTACAAAGTTTGTAAACGAGTTCCCCGATATTTTACAGGAAACAGTAAGTATATGACAAATGTTTAGAGTGATAACAACATATGGTATCATTGGATACTTTTTTTTGTGTTACTTTTTCTACTTTTGGACTCTTTCAAACTATTTCAACAATACTTCGGTTTTAACTTTCAGAAAAACCTGCTTTTCCTTGGAAGGAAATGTCATAAAAATGTAAGTGGTACTCCAATGTTCATAGAAATAGCACAACTCTAAATTATAATAAAAATATTATTTGATAGTTTCATTATTTAAACTTAAACTTAAGTTTCTGATATATACATTGTACATGATAATTCACATATTAGAAAAACAAGGTGGGATTGTATCAGAGAAAGTTAGCTAAGAAAACTTAATTTTAAATCAGAGTTAAAATATCTATCCAACAGCAAAATTATCATCCAGGCACAATATCAAAAACAAAAATCTATTTGAATAAAAATTGTCTTGATTATTTTAGCAGAATATGTTGAAGTTGGACAAAATATAAGACACTAACATCGAGTGGAAAACAATGTAATATGATAATGATCAGGTGTTACATTCCACAATTAAAACTGCTATGAAGTTTCACTAACCATAAAATGATTTGTTCTTAGCAGCTCGTTTCAAAAACTATAAAAATATTTTCAGAGCACACACATAAAGTCATGAAAATGGACCAAAATGGTATATAAAAGGAACATTTGACATCTGACCCTTTCTCATGACAAGGTCAAACATGAAATCATAAAATTGATTTCATTAGCATCTTACTTGTTGGACTTTATTTTAAATTGAAAATAAACCTCTTTCATAGCATTATTTGAAAGTTTCTTTCACAAAGAATATTTTTGGTACACATATGATATCTTTAATAAATAACAATGAAAGATTAATTGATAAAATATATAATTTGGTATAATATTTATAAGCCTATAAGTGAATAAATTATATATATAATTGAATAAAACTACAATTTATATTGTATTTAGAGAAAATAAATGCATTTAGAGTTTAAGGAACAAACAATTTCTAACAGTCTTCAATAATAATGAGTATGCATGTCTATAAATTGCACAACAATAGATTCAATGTTTGTTTTAAATCAAATGTTTGATAACAAAATTTTGGTTTTACTACTTAATATTATATCTACAACCTGAAAGTACTGGGTAATAATGGGTTTATAGCTACACTGAAGTGAAAAAAAGAAAGCTACTTGGTCTGTCGTAAACGTGATTCAAGAAGAGAAATATCCCTTTAAGGCTGTGTAGAAAAACACACTTAAATGTATAATTTGCTGTAAGGTTGAAATTCAGGCAAAACAAATCAAAAATTTGTATTTATGATAACCACAGATTATTCTAAAAATCTCAATTTAACAGTTGCCTCTGATGTGAGTAATCAGGGACAAACACCTCTCTTTTTGTATCAAACTTTTTTCAAGTTATCATTTGTCTAGGAGATAAACCTTGTAGTTGTCATCAGAATTGCATCCTAGTGGCGTTGGTAACATTTTCATCGCCATGTCTTGCTTTCGTTACTGTCTCCACTGTATAAAGTGCTTCCTTGGCGTAGAAATTTCCCCTCAGCATCTGAAGCTTCACATATCCTGACACGTCTCGGACGAGGTACATCACCAACCAGGCTGCAAATACAATCAAGTTCTGGAAATATAAAACAAATATTAAGGGTAAATATCTAGAGTATCAGTATAGGTTTCAGGAATGGAGGCATACATATACAGCCCATTTTTCTTACCTGCAGTATGTCACGTTACCAAAGATATCAAACTTGGGATCATCCGGTACACTCTTGTTTCTGTTCATGTAGAACAATCATTAATGTTAAGATACCCAAAGACATGACTTTCCATTAGAGCTAAGCTTCAGTAGTCTGTTTACAGATAAATATACCTGTATAGCTGTTTAATTTTATAAGGTTTACATTTTGCAATTTAAATAAATAATAAAATATACAACATCTGATATAGCGCCCTATCTAGCTAACATAAGCCACTCTAAAGCGCTTTACAGTACATAGATATACAATTCTATACAGTCAATACAATTAGCATATATATTAATCAATACAATTTTGAGGAATTCGCAGGAGCTGTCTTATCAGGCGCTAACCACTAGTCCTATGCCACCTGGCTAATATCTCCCTACATGTATGTGTGTATGCCTGTGTGTGTGTGCTGGAGATGTATTGTGTTTTGTCCCTATCAGAACAAGTTCGCTAGAATTAAATTTCGAGCAACATTGACAGATAAAAACATTGAACTCAAGAGGGTACTTCTGTATTTGTACTTACGTTAGATATTACTGCTATGGCTGATATGCCTCTCAGAATCCCGAACCATATGCTTTGAAAAAGAAAACATGAAGTATTAAGACAAAACTGCAGACTTGTGGAATCGTGTGAAAATAATTGCTGTACTGTATATTCAAAAAGGCTCTTTAAAACCCCATACACAAATATTAAATAATTATATATTACATTCTTGAGTTTGAAAATTATTATCCACAAATTTTGGCCAAAAATATGAGGAATATGAGGAATTCCTACTCTGAATTTGTTCAAAACTCAGTGCAATTTTTACCTTTTGTCTTCAAGCTTGAAGATGTAACTTAAAAGTCTACAAGAAACTGAAAACAAAGGTTTGTGAGGAATCCATAATTCCCAAACGTTTAGGAAATCATTGGCATGAAAAGTAAACCAAGGGAGATAACTCTATATAGAGGAGCACAAAACCCGATTTTATCAAGGGACACTCTGCCATCCTAACATACTCACATTTAAGATTTTGCAATTGTATGTGATAGACTGTAGGTGATAGACTGTATGTGATAGACTGTACATACTGTATGTGATAGACTGTATGTGATAGACTGTAGGTGATAGACTGTATGTGATAGACTGTACATACTGTATGTGATAGACTGTAGGTTATAGACTGTAGGAGATAGACTAGTACTGTATGTGAAATATGCCCCAGACAAAGGGACAGACAGACAAACAGACAGACATTTAGACAGGTTTAAACCAGAAATGCCATCTGGTAGTAACAATGAAAGACTAAAAATTGATATACATATTTCATTCAAAAACAGAAAATCCAAAAAATATCATAATCATTATTTACAAGAAGCAAAATGTCCAGACCAGAATGTGATTATGTTTCATTTATGTTTCATTTATCCTTTATTTACTTTTTTATCAACTGAACTTATAAAAGGCGTAAATCTATGTTTACCCATTTCAAGATCCTCATCATATAGTCCAAGGTTGGGTATGTTGGCCAGATGAAAGTCCTGTTCCCACCTCAAATACACTTTCTCCTCGTTGGGGTCCTTCCTTACCGACCGAGACTAAACCACACCATCAGTTTTCTGTGGAGGATATGAAAACTTGAGTGTGACAGATATTGGATATTTATAGATTATCACACTGTATGTTCAGGGTTTGTCGTTTTAACTCTTTTTCATGGCATTTTGAAAAATAATCAAGGCTATCCCTGGAGTCGAAATTTTATCTACATGTGATCGATGAGAAAATGCTTCACACAACAAACCTTGATAATGCATTATGTTATCAACTATTTATCATCTATAAAAACCTGAAACGTTTCACCAATCTTTAAGTGAAAGCAACCCAGTACAATATCTTCTAACCAACTTCTAGTGATTGTCGAGATTCTCCGTCAGGGACAAATGTGAACAAATATAAGTTTTGTACAGACAAATACTGTAAAACTATGGAGAAACATCAGAGCACTTTTAGTTAAATACTATTTGTGATTCATGATATTACCAGGCAAGAGCAGTCATGCTATTTGTGATAAAAAAAAAAATCTCAAAAATTCTTGAATACCAAATCCTTTTACTACCAGGTAAGGAATATCGGTTGTATCCGGCAGTTTAAAACTGCAGATGCATGCAAGATTTTGGTGCATTCACTTGTTACCTCTTGGTTAAATTATGGTAACGCCCTGCTCTGTGGTATATCTGACAAATTAACTAGTCGTCTGCAGAGGGTCCAGAACACTGCAGCACGGCTGGTTACTCGTACTCGAAAGTGAGCACATCACATGTACACCTGTGCTATATTCATTGCACTGGTTACCTGTACGATACAGGTCGCAGTACAGAGTTTTGGTGTACACATATATACAAGGCACTGAATGGAACAGCTCCTCAGTACCTACAGGAGATTGCTACCCTGTATCAGCCGTCACGATTACTGCGGTCAGAGTTGGAATCATTTTTGTGTGTCCCAAAATCTCATACCGTGACCTATGGTAACCGGTGCTTTGGGAGGGTTTCAGCCACATCTGCTATTAGAAAGTCAAATACCCTGGCCAAATTCAAGAAGGACATCAAAACTCACCTCTTCATGTCTGCATTTTAGGCTCTTTGCAAAGACGTCATGTAAATACCACCCTTTATTTATTCATTTATGTGCACATTGCGATGACTATCTGCTTACTTAATGTGTAAAGGTGATTGTAAGCCTTTTTTTTGTTTCACAATTATAACTACATGTAATACTAATATCCTTATGTTGTAAAGCGCTTCAGAGTTATTTTACAAATTATATAGGGCGCTATATATATGTTGTATATTATTATTATTATTATTATCAAATGGGAAAATCAATTCACAAATCGTTCTCAATCTGTTCTCAACCTCTTCTCAAGTTTCTCATACTGACAATTTTGGAAGGAGACTCCTGATTTTGGCCCCTTAAATTAAACAATTTGACAAGTAAACTTGCTAAACATGCTGATGTGACCTCTGTACGTATATAAAGACTGACCTCTGTACCAGAGATTTTACCTGTATACTAAGACAGTGACCTCTGTAAGGAGGCCGTGACCTTTGTTACTATCTAGTTTGTGACCTCTACCATGACTTTTACCTCTGTATTGAGGTTGGCAATGTGGTACTAGGCTGGACCCAATACTTACTTGCCCTTGAAGAATGCAATATAGAAGATGGAGGCATAGTAGTTGACAAACTGGAACAGGAACATCCTAAATGTGAAGCCATCTTCCCATTCAGTCTGGGTACGGTGTTGTTCTGGAAGGTAATTATAGAATCTTGTAACACGGAGAGTGATATCAGAATGATCTCATCCATGAACAAACATAACACCAAACAGCTGTTTCTGAATACAAAGGTACGTATTTCTAAACACTTCGGGTTTCCTGCTTACTACCTGAATTAATATCGAGGTTAAAATTAAATGATTTTATGGACCCTTTTCACGCTGTAGGCAAAAACAATATTGAGAAAAATTTCACTGTAGCTTTTTATAGATACAACTTCCCTTTATTTCCATTTGGATATACATGTTAGTATAGAGACTCGGCCAGGGTACTAAAGTTGACCAGGTAGCTCTGTTGGTAAAGTGATACATGTAAGTATAGAGACTCGGCCAGGGTACTAAAGTTGACCAGGTAGCTCTGTTGGTAAAGTGATACATGTAAGTATAGAGACTCGGCCAGGGTACTAAAGTTGACCAGGTAGCTCTGTTGGTAAAGTGATACATGTAAGTATAGAGACTCGGCCAGGGTACTAAAGTTGACCAGGTAGCTCTGTTGGTAAAGTGATACATGTAAGTATAGAGACTCGGCCAGGGTACTAAAGTTGACCAGGTAGCTCTGTTGGTAAAGTGATACATGTAAGTATAGAGACTCGGCCAGGGTACTAAAGTTGACCAGGTAGCTCTGTTGGTAAAGTGATACATGTAAGTATAGAGACTCGGCCAGGGTACTAAAGTTGACCAGGTAGCTCTGTTGGTAAAGTGATACATGTAAGTATAGAGACTCGGCCAGGGTACTAAAGTTGACCAGGTAGCTCTGTTGGTAAAGTGATACATGTAAGTATAGAGACTCGGCCAGGGTACTAAAGTTGACCAGGTAGCTCTGTTGGTAAAGTGATACATGTAAGTATAGAGACTCGGCCAGGGTACTAAAGTTGACCAGGTAGCTCTGTTGGTAAAGTGATACATGTAAGTATAGAGACTCGGCCAGGGTACTAAAGTTGACCAGGTAGCTCTGTTGGTAAAGTGATACATGTAAGTATAGAGACTCGGCCAGGGTACTAAAGTTGACCAGGTAGCTCTGTTGGTAAAGTGATACATGTAAGTATAGAGACTCGGCCAGGGTACTAAAGTTGACCAGGTAGCTCTGTTGGTAAAGTGATACATGTAAGTATAGAGACTCGGCCAGGGTACTAAAGTTGACCAGGTAGCTCTGTTGGTAAAGTGATACATGTAAGTATAGAGACTCGGCCAGGGTACTAAAGTTGACCAGGTAGCTCTGTTGGTAAAGTGATACATGTAAGTATAGAGACTCGGCCAGGGTACTAAAGTTGACCAGGTAGCTCTGTTGGTAAAGTGATACATGTAAGTATAGAGACTCGGCCAGGGTACTAAAGTTGACCAGGTAGCTCTGTTGGTAAAGTGATACATGTAAGTATAGAGACTCGGCCAGGGTACTAAAGTTGACCAGGTAGCTCTGTTGGTAAAGTGATACATGTAAGTATAGAGACTCGGCCAGGGTACTAAAGTTGACCAGGTAGCTCTGTTGGTAAAGTGATACATGTAAGTATAGAGACTTGGCCAGGGTACTAAAGTTGACCAGGTAGCTCTGTTGGTAAAGTGATACATGTAAGTATAGAGACTCGGCCAGGGTATCAAAGCTATAGTCAAGCCAGATAGAAAAATCCAATTCAAATTTACAACTGTTTTATGTGGTACAGGGATGCTTAAAGATATTTAACAAGAGAATAATGTAAATAGGACACACTTTTTTTCTTTTAATATTAAGCAATGGTGCAAGGATCCTTAAAGTTATTTAAATAGAGAATTTATGTATATACTGACCCCAAAAACAATTTACTAGTTCAGAGATCCTTCAAGTTATTTAACGAGAGAATAATCTTTATAGGACACAAAGAAACAATTTACAATTTTGGGCAGTGGTGCAGGGATCCTTAAAGTTATTTAATTTATTTAAATAGGACAATAATGTCTGTGATAGTAAAATTTAAAACACAAAATGAGTTTCAACATGTAAACATTTACAGAGATAAACCTCCACCTGACCTTGACCCTCACCAATATTTCCAATGATACATACATGTACAGTCACACTATCCATAATGCTCTATAACGGCCGATAGACCAATATGAAAAGGTAGGAAATTTCATTGACAGAAACTTACAAATGAATGACTCTGTGTGGCAAAATTAATGTACAGGCATGGTAAAAATGTTTATAAAATCTCAAAGTCAACTTCATTTCAAAATATTTGCTAAAGATTCTTTTTTAAATTAGGTACACTTTTTAACATTATTTATACCAGACTATTTTCACATTACAATGTTAATTTTTTTATCATTCAATGTTTTTTTCCAATTTTAACATAATAACACCAGACAAACAATACAAATTCAAAACAGTGGTCATCAATTGACTCAAAAGTTAAAAACTTCAGAAAAGCTTTTTACAGCTTACAATCTAAGGGAGACAATTCTCTATTTCTAACTATATATATATACCGGTAGATATATATACTGCTCCAAACCATGTTCTAGTAAAAATAGGACATAGGACTGAGACAACAATTAAATTTACTTTTTGTTTCATTGTAACATTTAAATTCATCAAAAAATCCAAATATTTGATAGCTAACTTTCCATCTTACCTGGTCAAGAGCAACACCTTTGGGTCAAAATATTAAAATTTCAATAACAGCATGTTGGCCTTTTTCTGGAGATAATGGTCTGCAAGTAACACCAACGTCAAATATAAACTTCCAGGTCAGAGATAGAGGTAAACACAGGACTCTTCACACAGCACCCTGCACCAAAAAAAATACATGCACAATATAAATACACGTCATTGATACAAAAGTTGTGAGATTGTTATCTCTAGAGTATTTCAACACTGTACACCAATACCAAGTTCTAAGAGAACTTCATTCATGGGTACTGAACACAGAAGCATTTAATTGTCACCTCAGTCCTTTTATAGGACTCAAACTTTTTTTGATTTTGTAAAGTTATTTTTCTCCTTAAATTGTAAGTAATTTGGAACTTTTTGGTGAAGGTCATCGGAGATCAGCTGACCAGTCAAGGTCTCTTTATCAGCGCCAGCTTCAATACTAACCTGACATCAAGGACAGAAAACTGGACTTGTTGGTGGAACAGCACAGGAGCATGCAGAGAAGTCAAAGTCTGCCAGGAAGTCTGACTACAGGAAAAGTCAGCTAGATCCAACACTGCATCAACCCAAGGGAGACAATCAGCCTCAAGATCAACTGTATTGGGAAGAAGAGAAAAGACATTTTATTAGAGACCATTTTTGAAATCAAACACAAAATTCAAAACTCAAGAAATATGTAACAAACAAAGAAAAGTTACATATATATATGACTACTTAAAGAGGGAACCTCCACGTGGTGATAGTCGGACAATGTTGTATCTGTGTATACAATAGCTAATACCCTCAAAAAATAGTGTGTTTTTTTAAATTAAGCCACTTTTAATTCCAACATAAGGTTTCTTAAACCTATATGACCATAGCATTATTTAAAGGAACCTGACATTTTTTGCCAAAGTTTGCAAAAAAAACAGATTAATACACTTGTAAAATTTGACGAGTACAGTGCACGTTCAATATGATTTAAATGCATGGTCTACCCTGATCAGGACTCGAACCCGGATCTTCCCAAATGAAATTGGAATGCTTTTCATTAAGCTACCAGGATATCATATTCATGATCAATGAACGTGACTGTAGAAACTGGGAAATAAAATCAAATTGAATTGGAATAAAAGTATTGCGATTTTGTTCAGTGTATGTTTCACAGTGCCAACAGTTGGATGAATATTAAAGGCAAATGTAAGAAATGGTACCACAAGGCCAACTCAGCACAAACAAATTGTCTGTCAAGAAGACCTATAAAATATTAACACCTACCTTTAGGCCTAGTTACTGGAGAGAATCATGTCCTCCTCCGTTAGAACATGTTTGGCTGAATATGGCGAAGTATTTTGTGAGCAGAGGTCTTGAGTTTCACATACAACTCGTTCAATTTTGTGAGAGATGAAAATGGCAGAGAATATGTGGTAATAACTCAAAAACACCAGCAAAGTAGACTCAATAATGTTGAGGCACCAACCGCTGGGAAACAGATGTATTCCGTACAAGGAAAACAATGCCCTGTTCAAACACTCAGGGACCCCCTTTTCAATCACTGCAGGAAGGAGGCCATGTCGCCCTCCGCCACAGAGGAAATATGGTTTTCCAACAGAGCCATGTTGTCTATAGCTGCGATAACGTAGCTTTCTGACGACGAGAGATTATTTTTTATATATTGCATCGTCAGAGCTACGAAGCGGTCCTGTGCCAACTAATGGAGCAAAATCAAAAGTGTTAATCTGTAAGATTGCAAATAATTCACACCTCATATGAGTATAATGTTAACAAAATATTGCATAATTGTAAAAAAAACAAACGAATCCTTACCCATGCAAAAACTCTTTTACGAAATTAACAAAGTCCGTCTTGGGAATAAAAAATAGAAACGACCGCCATGACAGATCACACGTGATGTTATCTCAATTACCCTTTCTATTTATATGGCCTGCATGGCCAAATATAGTATTACTACTGATGCTGCCATGTTTACTACAATTTCCATATTGGGTCATGACACCCATATTTGGACGTCTGACCTATATCGGAAGAGAGACGAACTTTCCAACATTGCGGTCAATTCAGATTTCGACTACGCTTGCTACATTTACTTGATAATTTAACGACATTTTAGGCAGAGTTTAACTTCAAGTTGTGTAGGATATCAACAGAAATGGTTCATACTACAACCTTATTTATTGATGCGGACCAATGTGCTGTAAATTTATTCTAAATTCGCCCCGGTCTGATTCACACCGGGCATGCTCCATTACGGGGCATGGGATCAATTTAATACCCGGCCAGAGCAGAGGAGGCCGGGTATTAATATTAGTACTAGTTGTCCCCCGCCACATAGGAAATATGGTTTTCCAACAGAACTGTTTATTGGCAATATATATATCCAGGAACTCGAAATGCACACATACATACACAGCACACTGCCTTCAAGCACAGGGGTTCGTTACAAATGTCTGAAATACACATGTGCTGTGACCCATATCAGTATAGCATATCTGTATTTCAGCCATTGTAACGAACACCTGTGCTTCGAGCAACCAGCTTCGACTTGCGGCATATTATGTTTATGTCCGGGAACAATAACGAAAGTTCTTTACAGTCAAGGATGTTCTACCAGCCAAAAGCACACTTTATGTGAGAAACACTGGCATCCATAGTTCAACCGAACACCAGTCCTCAAATAATTCCTGTGACACATACATAACCTGCGCCATCACCCACAGTCACCCACATTTAACACCGGTGTTCAGGTCCACTTAATTGCTTTAAATGCAACGAATGTAATGCTGCCCATGACACAATCAACTCAGCTATCTTCTTCAAATAACTTTCTTTCTGTCGGCATTCTATCCAACTCGTCGTTTGCACACTTCGTCTTTAATTTCGGACATCATGTTTTATTGCCTCGCAACAGTTAATTAAAATGGCCGACGACTTCTCGCCGCTCAGCTGATCGCACGAGACATTTGACGTTTCATGGCAACGCAATACACAATGTTACTGGTTGAAATATTATTGTGCATATGATAAAGAGCCACTTTTAAAAATAATCTATCGATTTCATTTGTTCATTGAATTTTTCATGACAATCAGTTGAAATGAATTATAAAAATTGAGGTCGATTTTTTTTATTTTCATCGGGTTATGAAAATAATTGTTTTTGCAAACTTTGTAAGAATCCGCTACTTTGATTCATACAGTTTGCAAAAAAAAATCTTTTCATACCCCGATTAAAATTAAAAAAATCAACCTCAATGCTTAAATGTAATCTTTATACGTGCTAAATTTCTGGACATTTCCGTCAGCAGTTAATATTCATCATAACTATTTTGAGGAGTAACTGTAATATTAATCACACAATGGGAAGAATTTTGACTACAGGAGATAATCTAGTAGTCTTCTCAGTATTTTTCAAATCTACTTACAAGTTTCAGTTCCTCAGCTCCACATTCCTCTTCCATGCTAGAAGACTTAGTGAGGACATTTTCCCGCAGACTCTGGGCCAAGTCAGATTATGTTCCTACTACTAAGATGGGGATTTGGTTCCCGGCCGGCAAACTGTTCTGGTGTCATATTCATACCTGAAGCCAAGGAAACATTGTTTAGTGCATTAAAATTTGTACAACAATTTTGTTTCAACAAAGAAATATGATAAATTATGAATTTTACATGAGTGTCTATTTGCATTATATGACATTTATGAAACAAGACTACTATTTTTTCATCTTTTTAAACTTCTGAAAAATAAATTGAAATATTTCATAAAACTCATAAATTATGCCTGCAGAAATTGAAATGATTTTCTTTAAGGCACTATATAATTTTGACAAAATCAAAATATGTTATTTAACAGTCCATTGGACCTGTATCGCTCACCTGGTTTTATATAAGTGATTACAACTGAATGCATTAGTACATCTTTATATGAAATTTCCTCAAAACCAGGCAAGATCTATGTTCTAACCCAACTGTGATTAACAAACAAAAAAACTATATATTTTCTTTTTTTACCTATAACTTTTGGTATGAACATAGCTTGGTGGTAATATGCAAGCCTTATGACCACAGCATCCCGGGTTCAAATCCTGCATATCCTGTTTCCTTTTTTTTTTTCAAATTGTACAATGGGTTTGTATTTTTGCATTCATTGCAACTGTTACACAGCCACAAAGGTAATACTTTTATTTTACTTTAATTTTCATTCAACTTTAAAGCTTTTCTAACCTAGAAAACAATTTTTAACAACTTATAAAACTATACACCCTAGAATATGATAATCTAGCTGTACCATTTCTTAGGACCGCAGGGGTCGAATCAACCTCATTCAATTAAGAAATGTTCTTCCTCAATAATGTTTTTGACCAAACTTTGTACAATCCACTCAGGCAATAATTAGGGGGTATTAGCGTCTTAAAGCAAAATAAAAGATAATTTTCCCCTTTGGCATACATACCAGAATTCCTGGAGACCAATCTGTGAGTTTTCCAGTCTTTTTGAGGGAATTGAGGTGAAAATAAGGGAGGTTTTATTCGCGGCATTTGTTCACGGCAAACAGACCATCTTACTCAACTAAATCAATGAAATAAAGCACAAAATCTTTAAGTAAGGAACTTTGTTTTGACTTTGGCAGGTTTTTTTTAATTATATTGAATATGATATTATATACATTTAATGGCACAAAGTTAACAAAACAAAATACCACATAGTTGAGATATACTGAAGAAGCAGATTTTACTTTAAATTTCGAAATTTAGTTGGACAGGCCACTTTTCACAGCAGCCACAGTACTACTGATGTTCAGTTTAAACTTTGAACTATGTATTTGGATGGGTTTGTAAAAATAAGGATAATAGTTGTCTATATGTTCATTTACATTTGAACTTCTTGATAATGTAACAGAATGTTGAAACATGCATTTAACAAGAAGACAGAAATAATCAGCTGTAAAAATGAAAAAAACTGTGTTCAGTATTTGAACTTTTAAATATTTCTTTTAAACATATTTCAGCATTCAGAACAAAGACTTTTTCCATCTTCTTCATGACATGCCCCTTATATATTTACCGGTCGTTCTCTTTACTTTCGTAGTGAAATTATATTTGTAAAGAAACACTTAGCCGGACATCGTATTAACCAAAGTTTCTAGCAATGAACTAACCTTACAAACATGACAGAAAACATGTTTTGTGCTAGTTCTACTGACAGTGTGAGGTATCAACTTCACGGGAAATTTTGATGCTGAAGCAGAGACTGTCGCATAGTGGTTGAATGTCAGGCATTCTGTAGTTTGAGGACTTTCTATAAATTCATGTCCCATGCCGTGAGACTTTATCGGAGGTGAAAATCTGTGAGATGTTGCCTCACGCCGTGAGTTCTGGCATGTATGCCTTTGGGGCCCGGCCTTCCTAGCCCCAGAGGTCAAACCAGCCTCATTTATTTAGGAAATTATTGCCCTCTTCCAATGAAGTTTCAGAGCAAATTTGGTTAAAATCATCTCTGGTGTTTAGGAGATGCATTTTAAAGCAAAATTTTCTAAGTTCCCATTCAGGACCCAGCCCCCCCTGGCCTTAGGGGTCAAACAAACCTCATTTATTTAAGAAATGATTGCCCTCCCCTAGTGATGCTTCAGACTGAATTTGGTTGAAAACCTCTATGGTATTGAGGAGGAGATGCGTGTTATAGCAAATTTAGGTAAGTTCTCCTTCAGGGCCCCGCCCCCCTGGCCTTAGGGTTGAACCAATCTCATTTATTTAAGAAATGATTTCCCTCCTCTTGTGATGCTTCAGTCCAAATTTGGTTGAAATCCTCTTTGGTATTTAAGAGGAGATAAGTTTTAAAGAAAACACCACACCAAGATAAAATCCCATAATCCGGATGGTCGAAGAAGGATTTTAAAGGTTTTACCTCTATTTCTCCTATTGGGCCTCACCCTTCTGCCCCTTGGGAGACCACACCCACTGCTTATACAAAATTGAGTCCCTTTTGCCTAAGGATGCTCCAGACTCAATTAGGATAATATCCCTTAATCCCTATGGTAGAAGAAGGATTATAAAGGTTTTACCTATATTTCCCCTATTGGGCCCCGCCTCTCAGCACCCAGGGGCCAGACCCACCGTTTATACAAAATTGGTTCCCCTTCACCCAAGGATGCTTCTTACCAAATATGGAACAAATCCTTTTTAGTCCTACAGAAGAAGAAGGATTTTAAAAAATTTGCTAAATTTTCCCTATTCGGCCCCGCACCTCAGCCCCCAGGGGGACCACACCCACCGTTTATACAAAATTGGTTCCTCTTTACCTAAGGATGCTCCACACCAAATATGGACCAAATCCTTTCATTCCTACAGAAGAAGAAGGATTTTAAAGAATAATTTGCTATGTTTCCCCTATTCGGCCCTGCCCCTCAGGGGCCACACCCACAATTTATACAAAATTGGTTCCCCTTCACCCTAGGATGCTTCTTTCCAAATATGGAACAAATCCTTTCATTCCTACAGAAGAAGAAGGATTTTAAAGAATAATTTGCTATGTTTCCCCTATTCGGCCCTGCCCCTCAGACCCCTTGGGGGCCACACCCACGATTTATACAACATTTGTTCCCCTTCACCCAAGGATGCTTCTTACCAAATATGGAACAAATCCTTTCATTCCTACAGAAGAAGGATTTTAAAGAATAATTTGCTATGTTTCCCCTATTGGGCCCCGCCCCTCAGGCCCCTGGCGGGGGCCAGACCCACAGTTTATACAAAATTGGTTCCCCTTCACCCAAGAATGGTTCAGACCAAATATGGAACAAATCCTTTCATTCCTACAGAATAAGAAGGATTTTAAAGAATTTGCTATATTTCCCCTATTGGTCTCCGCCCCTTAGCCCCCAGGGGGGCCAGACCCATGGTTTATACAAAATTGGTTCCCCTTTACCCAAGGATGCTACACACTAAATATGGAACAAATCCTTTCATTCCTACAGAAGGAGAAGGATTTAAAAGAATTTGTTATATTTCCCCTGTTTGGCCCCGCCCCTCAGGCCCCTTGGGGGCCAGACCTACGGTTTATACAAAATTGGTTCCCTTTCACCCAAGAATGCTTCAGACCAAGTATGGAACAAATCCTTTCATTCCTACAGAAGAAGAAGGATTTTAAAGAATTTGCTATATTTCCCCTATTGGGCCCCGCCCCTCAGCCCCAAGGGGGGCCAGACCCACCATTTATACAACATTTGTTCCCCTTCTCCCAAGGATGCTTTTGACCAAATTTGGTCAAAATCTGCTCAGTCATTCATGACAAGTAGCGTTTTAAAGGAAAAGTTGACGGACGGACGCTGCAGTATTGCATAAGCTCACCATGGTCCTTCGGAAGAGGTGAGCTAAAAATGGAGGGAAAAAGAAGGGAGGAATGTAGCTGAACTGGACTAATGGTCGATCGTTGGCGACCAGCTGGTAGCTCAATTGGTAGAGCGTCAATCTAGAGTTGGAAGGACCCGGGTTCGAACCGGGCGGCGGTATGCATGGCTGTGCATTTTTTGTCCTCTCCTGTTACAAAAAATAATGCATCTTTTCTGTTTATCCTTTCCTTTTTCCGTTATTTAACAACAACAGGATTATTTTTCTCCTTTATGCAATGATGTTGACAGTTGTTTTTGTATTTTTTGTGTTATATTTCAAAGAAGATCTTTATATATCAAATAAGAAATATCCTGTTCGATTTTTCTCAATTTAAAAGGAAAAAAACTTCATCGACTTTGAAAATATCCGCAAGATGGGGGTTTCTTTTCAGAAGCGTTTTTGGTGAAGATATAGTTTTTATAAATGACAGGGATCTTAATTACCAAATTAATATCTATCCGTCAAAATGTCTAAGTCTGGTGTCAGCCCAGAGGAATCTCGTACTTGATTGGACTGTTTGCACAGGTGTTTGAAATTCTGACTGTAAATTGAGATATATATCATAAAAAAGCAGGTAGACTTGTAATACCTTATTTTCTATGATATATATCTCAAGTTAGTCAGAATTTCAAACACCTGATCTGTGCTGTTTGGTGGTGGTGTTCGTAAGTACTTATAGCGCACCACCCAATGTTTACCGACCAGAGTCTCCCACAACGACGATCTTGATCTTGTCCACCGCAGCCATCATTCATTCGTCTATAAGCGTTGACCTCTGCCATTTAATGATTTGGTGATGTGACATACATGAACTGTAATTCATTACAATCGAAAACATGGTTTACCGAAACGGAAATGTTGGAGACGGCTATAAAATCGAAACCGGACACTGACATTGAATCCGGAATCAATTCTCTTGCCGTCAAGGGTTAACGAAAATAACATAAACAGAAGAAAACAAGTTTCTTCAGAATTGGATATATAAAAATAGTAGTTATTAGTTTACTTTTTTTCCCAACAAATTAATATTAAATGTTCCCAATGTTTTGAGATATTTTTTTTCTAACCTGCCGTTAACAAGGACATCCCTCTAGAATGTCTTCTTTTTTTAATTACTCCTATTTTTTGCCTTTTATGTGATA